TTAATAAGAACCAAATATGGAAATAATTAAGTTATGTTAAATGAATTTCTATTTATAGATAGGTTACAGAAATTTTTATGTAAATTAATGAAATACAGATTGGGAAGTGATAGTATGGTTACATGAAAAACATGTAAGGGAAAAAGGAGACAAGTAGGAACAAAAATAGGAGAAAAAAAAAGTTTTACAAGAGAGTAAAAGAGAAATTTCATTGTAATTTAGCTAATATTAGGTCAAAATTCTTTGTTCAGAGCTTGTTTTGATTAGACAAATGTGTATTACAACTTTAATTAAGAGTGTAGGATATGTTATTGCAGTAGAAACTGTGAAAAAAAATTAATTGTTAAAATTGGGGCCAAAGGCTGTCAGTACAGTTTTTTAATGAGTTTAAAAGTTAAAAGTATAATATTTGCAAGATATATATAAAATTCTGAGCTGAATAAGTTTACTTAAAACATCAGGACAGGTTGTCTTAATAAAATAAATAGTTATAAGAGTTTTTGTACAAGTGATTTTTTAGTTACTTTTTTGTGCAATGAATTTGTAGAAAGAGTTTTTTTTTTAATTTGGCTAATAATTATTTTTATTAGTATTATAAATAAAAAATATATATTCTTTTTTAAAAATTATAAATAATATTAATTACTATTCCATTAATTAATTTTTTTAATAATTGTCGATCTATATTTTCTTTAATTGATAAATATCGATATCCTGATACACTATGTTTCTATTATGTGCAACCAATAAAATAACTATTATTTATATTAATGCTACTTAAATCTGAAGAAGAATTTATTACAGAAATAGCTTGAGTTTAACATTTCTTATTACTAATTTACTATTACATTATGTTCTATTTGTTTGAATATATGAATAATATAACTTTTTTTTTTTTGGCATTAAGGTGACCTCTTTGGTCTTTTGACTTTTATTAATCACTTATCAGTATTGTAGTTCGATGAACTATTACAGAAGAGTGTACAATTGGCTATATATATAACTTTTCTATATTACCTATTTAAGGAGTCTGCCCAAAGGTTCTCTACCAATTGTCATACAAAACATCCCTGCTTGGATGTTCTACTTTAAAACCTCTGAACCTGTAATCTGTGTTAATATCACTAGTCATCTCAGATAAACCAGATCATTGTTCTCAACCTTAAGACTAGTTTATCCTTAAGATAAATCCCCCAGAGCCTTCTGTACTCATTTTTACAGCTAACCTAGATATCCTATGACAGAACCAACACTTGCAGTCAGGGCTAACCATTAAACTGCTGTGCTCTTGTAGAGTTTATTTGGACTTCAGCAGCTACTTCACAGCATAACCCTGATACTTTATTATACCCTTGCCTTTTCCTTTGCCCTTTTACCAAACTTCCAATTTAGATAGACTATGTAAGACTACAACCAGTCCATTGGTATATCATATTAGCCCAATATCCTTTTCTTCTGGTTCGTTCAAATGGGCTGGTTGGTGTTACTTTCAAGACTTTCAGCCCAGAAGTTCTTGCCTATCTGGCTACTAAAACCAGGTACTAGACCTTGGTATCTGTTTTTCTAGGCTAGTTTTTATAGTAGGGCTGTCAAAGATCTAGTTATCTCTCTACTCAGGTTTTCTCAAATGGACTTCTTGTTACCTAATTTCAACAGATTTACATAGCTACAAAGACTTATCTAGTATTTGCACTGTCCGATATGTCAGTTTGCATTCTTCTGTATAACTCTAACATTGCACAGATGCCTTATGACCTGCCAGTCATGCTGATGTGACTGTCATTATAGGTATCCTAACCTAATCGTTAGTAACAGTTGCCATAATATAAATATTATATAGGTGATTATCCAAATTTTTGCATTGATGGGATTTGAATACCCAACCTACCACTTGGGAGCTTGACAACCTGACTACTTCACTAGGTTGCCACACCCCTATGATATAACTTTTTAGTAACCAAATAAAATCTAAAATATTAGTAATTTAAGTTATTTAAATAATAAATTATATGTATATATATAAATTATAAAAATAAATATTTAATAATTACAATAGTTGGGGAACCCTCGGGTGGACTCCTTAAATAGGTAATATAGAAAAGTTACATGTGTAGCCAGTTGTACACTCGTCTAATAGTTCATTATAGATACGTCTATATAAAACATGTACCCGCTATAAGTATTAATAAAAAGCTCGGACCAAAGAGGTCACCTTAATACCGAAAAAAAAAAAAAAAAATAAAAATAATTACAATAGTGTATTGGTTTGAATACTTTACAATTTTTCATTATGTTTAATTGATTAAAATATAGTTAAATCAAAATCAACATTAGTATGTATATAATTATGCAAATAACTATGTACAAAAGAACAAATTTTAATACCTCTACATGTTCTTTAATCTTTTATAACTTGAATTTTTTTATTATTAAAACCTTCAAAAAAAAGAATAATTTACATATAAAGCATCACATTTTCTATCTTATAAGTATTGTATCTAAATTAAATTAATTTAAAAATTAAATTAATTATAAATATATAAATGATTGTTAATAAAAATCAAACAGATTGACATTTTAAAAAAATTTGATACCTTAACTTTTACTACATATATCTTAATAAATTTTAAAACTATTCTTATAAATAAATAATCAAATAAAAGCATATAATTTAAGCTTTTTTTGACTATTTAATTATAAAAACAGCTTTGAATTCATTGAGATATATGCAGTAAAAGTTAAAATATCAATTTTTTTTAAAATTTTGATTTGCTTAATTTAATATAAAAAATAAATAATATAAATATTACATTATGAAAAACATTTCAAGCTTTATCTTTCATCACTTTTTGAATTTGCTCATTATTTGTTTCAAAATAATTATTGTCTTTAATAAAATTATAAACAATTACATAGCCATCTGGATCAGTAGATGGATATTCAACTAAAATAGCTAAAAATTGAACATGTTTTGCAGTTAAATTTTTTGTAAAATAAGCAATCTCTTCAGTAAGACTATCACTATTTATGTCCTAATTAATAAATAATAATAAAATAAATTATTAAATATAGCAAAAATAAGAATTGCAAATAAAAAAATTAAAAAATCAAAACTAGTTTTGCTATTAAAATAAATTTAGATTAATTTTTATATAACAACCTTCTGTTCA